GGGGTTGTGGTGGCCGAAGTGCAGGACCCCATTCACTTGGCCTTGTTGAACCTCATACAATTGGCCTCGGCCCATCGATCCAGAACATATGGTTCTGCTGTTTACTTTATCAAGAACATCATCAGGTAAGAAAAGATACAATTAAAAAAAGACTGTGGTATTTACATCTTTTCATATGGAATTTCAAATCTGCATTTCCAGATTAATTGTTCCTGGGGAAAAAAAATGGTTTTGAATGTTTTGCTGTTCTTTCCTCCGTTTTCTGTTTAAATTGCAAGCAGAAACAACCTATTAAATATCTGGGGTTTATTTATTATAGTATTTTGTATACATATACATTTTTACAACTAGTGTATAAGGGTCTTAAAACTGCAAACAATTAGTCTGTTAGATTTGACATGTATTTCTGTTAAGAATCCCTAATTAGGCACCAAGGACCATGTTGCCAGCATGTTGCCAGATGTGATTAGCTTTTTCCTCCTTTGTGCAGTTCACACGCTACAGTCTGGCTTTTACAAGCTTTTTAATGTAATTTATAACAAAGTGGAAACTGCCATTTTCATATGAAAGCTTTTGTTCTACACAATGGAATAAACTAACAAGTAATTAAATGAAGTGATGGCTTCTGTATAATCTGTATCATATTAGACCTAGACTTGCTCCAATTTCAGTGGGAGGTTATCTTAATTTCTGTAGGACAGGTACATATTATATGGCTCAATGACAGTTTTACCAGTCTTTATGTTTTTTTATCAATCTTGTGATAATTGATGTTTTATTCAAAAACCCAACTTCAAGAGAAAGCTGATTTACATGAAATTCAGATTTGTTCGAGAAAATAAGCAAGTTACAATTGCCAAGAAAAACTTGAAAATCTGAAATTTTGTGCATGTTTTTCTGAAACAGATTCCCTTATGCCTTCTTGGGTCTTGCAGTCAAATTTCAGCTGCAATTTGTTATCACACTAACTTCAGTGATAAGTAAGTCTAAGAATTTTTTGTTGTTGCAATTGTCGTTGTGCCAAATTCATCAGTATCTCGGCTGTGTTTCTACACCAAATGCTTGCACTACAAATGCAATTTCTCAAATGACTCTACCCCAAAAGTTACTGCACATCACTCCCTTCTTTTGAAAGGGGGGGAGAAGAAGAGGAGGCGGAGGAGAGGTTATTCTTTTCACACAGATCATTTCAATGCGTCGACTTACTCTTGCAGTAATACAAGTGAGGGGTTGCAGAGAACTAGGGCACAACACAACTGGCCAGAGGCAGAATTGTGTGAACAGCAACACAGTGATTAATTACTTAAGACAACCTCAATGCCAAAACTGGTGCATCCTGAAAATGCACTTTAAGAATATAGGAATCGTCCAGCATCATAAATTCTGCCTGTAAGTCTGAACTAAATTGTATCGGGCTTTCTCGTATCAAACTTTTCTGTGAACAGAAAACTCATTCAGTGAAGAGGTGTTCACTAAGGCTTTGGCTAATAAAAATCTAAATTCACTTTTGCTTTTGGTAACTAATCCCAAGGAATTTATATGCTTCAGTGCTTTTCAGTATTAATCTGAGCTATCAAAGTGACAATATTAATCCAGTGCGTAAATGTGCGTATTGATTGACAAAAAAATGTTAAGAAATTACGTTTGATTTACAGGCCATATTGGTTTTGATTACTCTTTTACATTTTGAATTCTTGAGACTGTAATGTCTTATTTTCCAAATAAGTGAAGTACTATGGAATTGAAAGAACATAAATGGCCTTCTTAACACCTTGCCCAGCAAATTAAAATGTTCTTTGTATTTCGGCAAATAAGTTAGTTCAAATAAGCTTGGCATTTGTGAAGTTCATAGGTAGCTAGGCATGATTCATCATCAATTTCAAAAGGAAAAGTATTGCAAATGTGCTTAGCCCTTTTTAACTCCTCAAAATGTGTGCCTGCAGTATGCAGTGAAGCACCATTCTGAAACAGAGCAGCAGCACTCACTAGGTTATCTCTGGTGGTAGTGATGGCACTCCTCTGGGGCTAACTTGTCCATGTGTAGTTCTGCCTAGACATGTCTACCCCACTTCTGTGGGTCAGGCTACATCATCTGAACTAAAAGTGACAAGACATGACAATAAAGCTTATGTATTTTCACTTCAGTCTTCAGCTCACTTATGGCATCACTATGAACACAGAGAAGCTTACCAGAAGCTATTGGAGGATATTGCTGTTCTGCGGCGTTTAGCTGCTAGACTATCTAGTCGTGCTGAGATGGTTGGAGCCATTCGCCAGGTAAGAACATCCTGGTGTCTAACATGTATCCAGGCTGCACATGTTCACTCTTTCTCTTTTTCAGCCATAGCTGGAGGTTATATTAGCCCTTTGAATTTTATTTGCCATTTTGACAGATTAAAGATGTTTATTGTAGTGTCAGATAAGATGCTATTTTGGTCTGGAAATAGAATCCAAACAGAAGAAGATTACCCATGAAGCTATTCAACATCTCTACAATAGGAGCATATATATTATTCAGAACTGTAGCTGCATCACAAGAAATTTATTTAAAATCAGTGCAGCATGAATAAGAAAACTTTTCTGGGTCAAAAAGCTCATCTAGTTCAGTAACCTGCCTTTGGCAATAGCTTAGTCAGACAACTATAAAGAATATAAGAACAGAGCAAGTATAAATTAGAACCCAGCAATACCCTCCTAAATTCAACACTGTTGCCTCTGCCCACTAAAGTAACTAGACTGATGCCAGTGACTGAGGCCTTCAAGGGTTTAAAAACAAATGTACATATACCACATAACTAATAATATAGGCATGCAGGCAGACTGTATAAATATATGACAAAATAAATTATGATATTCTTTGGATATATGTGAATGCATGTGCATTTGTGTTCTAATTAGCTTCAGAATTTTCAGTCATGGAGGTACCAATATTTCTTTAAGAACAACTATTCCAGATTTAGCCCTGACAGAGAGCATATGATTTGTTTGAGAAGTGTAGAGGTTACCTGAGTATTCCCCTCTTTTCTTCCTTAGGAGAAGCGTATGTCAAAGGCAACGGAAGTAATGATGCAGTATGTGGAAAATCTGAAAAGAACCTATGAAAAGGATCATGCTGAACTAATGGAGTTCAAGAAACTTGCCAATCAGAATTCTAGCAGAAGCTACGGTGCATCTGGTAAAAAAAAAAAAAAATTAAGTTTGTCTTGCCTCTGTATGCAGAGAGGTGTCTGGTGCTATTAATGACAAAAAGTGAAGTATTGTGAAACCTGTTCATGAAGTTCTGATTTACAGGAGTAGATTTCAAAAAGTTATAGATATAACAGCTAAAATATTTCATATAAGTCATACTTAATGCTATACTACAGTAATTTAAAATCACTATCACCTACCAAATTCTAATGAGATCCAATGACATTTTCATTGGCCTCTTGCTCATATGCATAGCTTGCACAGTTTTAACGCAACTATCCCTTAGATGACAGATGATGGCAAAATTTCATTATTAAAAAAATTTTTTTTTCTTTCCTAGTTTGCTGAAACTGAAATATGAGTATTTTCTTTTGCAAAAACTTGTATATGGAGGCAGTTAGTGGGCTTTTGCCTGATCTCAGTAAAGATAGTAATGGTTGAATTTTTTGCAATTATTTCAAATTTCTTCTGCAGGTGTAACTGAGACCACAACTGTATGACAGATAAATATGCAGTCACTACAGACCTTATATAAATATACTATATCTGAGTTTGAAATACAAGCAAGGGCTCTATTAATATTTTTATCATTTAGTCTAAGACTGTTCTTTATCTACTGTTTTTATGCAGAAGATGGAGTACCTCGTTCATCTAGATCCATGTCTCTTACTGTTGGAAAGGTATTTCTACAATATAAAGAAAACAAAATGAACATTTTATGTAGTGAAATTTCTTTGTCTACATACATTCAATTTTATAGGCTGTGTTCAAAACATAGTGCTGCTAAATTCTCTATATTGTTCATGTAATTTAGTGCAAATGCTTTGTAATTCTGGATACATGATTAAGAATGACTCTGTGCAATAATGATAATGCTTGCTGTGAAGCTATAAATAATAAAGGGACCTATTTATTTGAGAATAATTGTATTCCAGGCTGCACACCTGTGCTCCAGAGAATGGCTTATGTCCTGTGCTTTATCCTAGCTCCTCAGTGAGGAAGCTGAACATTGGATCAAAACTTACTGTATGATTAGGGATTCAATGATCATACCATTTTCATTATCTTAAGAATTATATCATGTTCAGAGTACCTTAGATGTAAACAGTTATTTTTAAATGAGGCTCATTTTTCAGTTAGCATCAGAATATTCTGTTTGGTTTGACAAAGCATTCCGAGTGAGAGATTATCTCAGATTGTTTTGGCTTGACCAATTAAAAACTTTTAACATGGCCAGTGTTCCATTCCTGCAAAACTTCCAAGTGTTGGAGATCAAGTTTATTACAAAACTTCCTAAAGCAACCAGTGATTTGAGAGAGCAAAGTCCCAGTGTGACCATTATGAAATTTGCTGGACAGAGGCATTATATTAAGTCTACTATTTCTTTTCATATTTTTATTTGCTTGGGTTGTAGTTCTTTAGGTTTAGTTTATTCCTGCCACCTTTGAGTGCTGAATAGAAAGAATTATAGCAGAAAGCATGCCGAGGGCAAGACTGGATTTCAGAATGAGAACCAGATAAATTGAAACAGAGGTCCCAAAAAAAGATGAAATTTAACAAGGACAAGTGCAAGTCCAAATAATAAAGAGGGGGAAAAAAAACCCCAAAACATTAGAATGGACTGCCTAACATGGCTGCAGACTCTCCAGTATAGTTTTTCAGGAGCACATTAGATTAATGAGTAGGTATAGTTGGTTTTGTCTAGAACCAGGATCATGGAGTAGGTAACTCCTTCTATATATTTAGTAAATCTGTGTTTAACTCCTTTCCTGTAAAGTTATCTAGAGCAGAATCCTAGAAGTGTTTGGGTATGCACTAAGATGAAGCTGTTAGATGCTATATGTGCTTGGATTTTTTACTCAGTGGGAAGTGTAGATTTCACTAGATGTATTTGCCTACTTGCCTAAGGACAGCAAAAACTTACATGATCTATACTTAAGCTAGAATATATTGTGTAAAGCTAGCATGTGTTCATCATACAAAGAATTTCCATGGTCTTTGGGAAATGTAAGCGATGTTGTATGATGCTAGATAGATATCTAACAACTCTAAGGTGGGGGAGAAGGCTCTGTTCTTTTGCGGAGGGAACAGATGTTATTCTTTCTGTAAGTTACAATTTGTAGGTTTCGAAATAATTAATATATCATAGTGGGTACAGCGTATCATAATGGGTACATAGCAAGAGAAGAGTTCCGTGTGTAACAACTTCATTATTTCCAGTCATTGTGACACTGACACTTTTCCCATTATATACATCTGGTTTAATGAAAAATAATAACCTCTAATAAGGACTGACAATAACAGCTCAGAACATATCTGTTATATGACTGACTTACGCTATTGGGCTTTCAGTGTGGAGGGAAAAGAGTAGAATCCCTGTACAACACCTCATTTCACACTAAGCATTTGCCATACCAGACAGTACTAGAGGTAGTTTTGGGGAAAACCACAGTCCTAACAGCCGTTTACCTTAATTTTGCTCCCAACTCTCCTTTCCCCCAAGGGACATTAACCTACATCTTTGCCACACCTATTAACTTGTAGAATTATTCTTCAGCCTATCTTGTTGTATGATAGAAAAAAAAATGTTGTTTGTCACAGAATATGCCTCGGAGGAGAGTCAGTGTTGCTGTTGTTCCTAAATTTAACTCCCTAAACATTCCTGGTCAGTCATCAACAGCTTCACCTATACCTTCAATGCCATCCCTGGTAAGTAAAACCCACATTTTGAAGATACTACTTTTTGTCTAAACCACTTATGCATAGGGCCAAACCATAGTTACTAAAAAATGTAAGCCTTTTCATTGTTTTAATTTATTTTGACTCCATCCTAGTGAAGAGGATGGACAAAGGTAATTCCTGTCATGTAAGGGACATATGCCTTCAGAATCTACCCCCATAAACGATCACTTTGGGCACAGAGCTGAATAGGGCTAGCTGGTGATTCAGAGGCATTAGACATTAGTTGAGGCAATTTGTCTTTTAATCTGTAGTAACATACTGGAAAGAAGTAGTAAAAATAGTTATCCACTGTACGAGAGAAGTTTTAACTTGAATCCATAGAAGATGATTGGACTGCTTCTCTTCATTGCCAAAAAGTCCACTAAACAGAAAAGCATGTAATTAATGTACAGAAATATATGGGGTACAAATTTAGACGTTTCGTGATGAATTAGAATTAGTGGAGCTATCAGCCTTTGCCTTGACTTTTTGTTTATAAAATTTTAATAAATTAAATGAGAATCTAATCTTATCTAATAAATCTATATAAATGCTTTGGAGGAAAACTGCAAGCTATACCAACTGTTCAGAGATGAGCTAAGGTGGCACATAACCTGAAAATTATGCAGTTTTCTGTTAAAAATGTAGGGCTATTTAAATGAGGGGTGTTGCTGAGAAGGTAAATCAATTTTAGTTTTAAGAAAATCTGTTTGTGCAATTTAGTTATTATGTACTCAGAGTCAATTGTTTCAGGAAATAAGTGTGCTTATTTACCGTGATTTATTATGATTTATTTTTGTTTAAAATTTTCCATTGAAAACTTAGCTAACAAATTAATGTTCCTAGGATAATATGGAGAGAAGCAATAGAGTAATTTTACTTTTAAGTGATCAATATATGAAGAAGAAAGACTTTTGGAAAAAATAAGCAGGGTAGAAGGGAATGTCGCAGAAAGTTCTTCTTAGTGTGCAAGTCCATTGTTTACTGTGGTTAGTGGAAGTAATTTGGAAGCTCCATATTAAAGATACCTTGCTCATGGGTGTGGGAAGAAAACCTAAGCAGCACATTGACTTTGTCATTTTACTGAAGACTCATTTGAAATTAATTCATGGAGGTAACATTTATTGCTGTTTTTCACTTACAGTCTGAATCACCTAATAATGGAAGGAGCAATCTAACATCTACTCCTGTTCTGCCAGCACTTCTAGAAAAGTGAGTTTTCTCTAGGTCATCTCATTACCTATTAAATCCTAGTATGAAATGAAAATGATACAATTTCTATCTTTCCTAACAGAAGTTATCCAAGGCATAAGGTATTGAAATCAGTGACACAATATTGTTTTAGTTTGATTCACGATCTGGTAACTGTATTTTACTATGTCACCATCATATTGTTCTTTTCATGTTCAAAGAGTTTAGAAGCAGTATCTCAGAACTAAATTGAGCCTGCTACGACCATTAGAAACTCATCAAGTAAAACTGCAGCAGAAGATTATACATTTACACATTTGAGTAGGCCTGCCTTCAGAACTTAACAAAACTAGGAGTATTACATACGATGCATGTGGCTTTGTTTTTTTAATATATGTCCTGTAACAAATCAATGCTGTATCTAAAGTTGGCCATGAGCAACCCTGGTTATGAATATTCCTTAACTTGACTATCCCAGTAATAGATGTTTGTGTTCTGCCCTTGCCTTTTCAACATGTGGCCAGCTGGTAAGAATCATATTTTGAAATACTATGATATCCAGCATCATGTAGGTTTTTAAATTTATATGAATAAACATAAGTATACGAAATTCAAAAGTATAATTTATCATAATAGTCGATCATCAAAATTTTACAGATGTCAAAACAATGATTAAATTGAGTAGTAATTCTTTTTTTAGTATAAAATGAAGCAAACATTCAGCTAAATTAAAGCATTATATTTGAGATTTTAGTTTTAACAACCTGAGATTTTAGTTATAACAGGCAGAGAAGTTTTCATTTAAAAATTAAAAAATAGAGATATGAAAGTGGAGATTTTTTTTCAGGCTGGTAACAAGTAAATACCTCAATATCTATATTTTTCTAGTACCTATAAATGGAAAAAATATTCTTCATTAAAATATTTGCCCTTTTGACTCTGTATTACTTACCATTAGTGTAGATGTCCTGGCTGGATTAATGTGTGCTGTTGTTATCCATTTTCCGTAATAGTTCCATAAGTCATTCCATGGATTTAAATAGTACTACTTTTGGAGCAAAATAATAGTTATACGGACAAGGAAAGCAAAGAATTGCTCTGCTGGAAATCATGTGCATCTACACCTTCCTGGAAAGAACTTTTAAGTTCTTCCAGTTGAAATTCTTGTAGACACGTAATTTAATTTTATACAAGTTCTTGAAATGTAAAGCTTCTGCAGTAATAGAATACAAAGATGGGCAATATGAAAACATGTGAGACTGGGATAAGAACAGAAGGCATACTCAAGCTGTTCTACAAGGTTTTTGTAAACAGTTACCATTATGGATACAAGTACTGTCACATTTGCAAACCCGGGTGTGTATATACTTTATTCATATGCATAATCAGCCTAGAAAGTCAAAATAAAAAATTTTCAGGCACCTTTCCAAATACTTACCTCTTTCAGGAAATGTTGCGCATTCTAAGGAAGTTGCTTGCTGATGTTTCAGAAGTAAAACTTACTAAAACATCATGTTGATTATTGTTGTGTTGTTACTACTACTACTTCTTCTTCTTTGGTCGTTTAGACTGTTTACAATATCACAGTAAAATATCTGCAATAGTAATTTAAATTAAAGCTTGTTAGAATGCTTTAAACATGCAAATTAAAACCTTTAAAATATGTAGCTCTCACGTCAGTACAGAATATTGATTTTCACGTATTTTAGATTAGTGCTGAGGCAGGACAAAATTTATCTTACGTCTTTGTTTTATCTCTGTGCTTTACCAAGAATGAAAATATGCAACAATTGTGAAAACAAAAATGGTGAACTATGGCACTAGTTGTTACAATTCAACAGAACTCTGCAAGATTTAGACCATCTTTAGAAACTGTACCGAAATTCTGAAAAAGAAAAAAAGAAAAAAAAAAAAAAAAGAAAAAAACCCCAAACCTTATCAATATTTCTTATTGGATCTTAAGAAAACAAATCATGTTATCAAGTAACAGAAGTTGAACTTGAAATTCAAGTTTGAGCGTAAGTATGTATGCATGGGATGTGCACTGCTATAGTGTAAAATTACACAGTTCAGCAGAGTTTTGTATATTTAAGCACTTCAAGCTTATATTCATGATGTGTTTAAAGTCCAAGTGAAAATATAATCTACAATTAATATGACTTATTGAGAGAAAATCCATTGCCCACAGATGGTGTCAATCAGGGTGAATTATTCTGCTATGGATTTTAGTGCCAGAAAAATAAGGCCTACAAAAAGGGTTTTATTCTAGAAGTTGAAATGGGATCCACTGCTGAGCTTATTGAACATTGACTTTGATATATTTGCTAAGTCATGGCTGAATCACTTAAACTCTTTGTCCCAGACTTAAATAAATAAGGACAGGCGAGCACTGCAGAAAGAGAGCAACATATAATGGCTTATCTTTAACCTAAATGCTCAAAGCTTTTACTTAAGAAAAGTTTTAGTGGCAAAAGTTATGTACGTGTTTGTATTTTTTTAACGTGTGCATCAGTTCAGCGTATAAAGTCAGCAGAGAGGAGTACCTAAAAGGCAAATAAGAAAAATGTTTTGTTAAATTAATATTTGGTATTATTTCTATTATCTGTCTGATGTAGCAGGCTACAATTTCTAATATGATTTTTAGGAAGTTGAGGGAAATATTTTAAAGAATAGCAAATAAGTGCCATAGATAAGCCAGGAAACAAATGCTTTTTTCTTTTCTTTTTTAAACAAGAAGAAACAAAATGCAAGTTTTAATACCTTAGAAACATATTAATTACTGTTCTTAAATTACAACATTTTGAAACTAAAATTTTGCTTAGTGGTTTTTTTTTTTTCTTTTGAAAGACATTTTATTTCTCCAATGTACATTAAAGAAGGATAATCAGGAGTCACAAAATTGCGTGTGATTGTTCTTGTTCAGTAGTATACTTCAAATACATGGTGTTATTCAAATACATGTTCAGTGGTGTTATTTTCTATTTGTCTGTTTCTTTTGTCTTGGCAGTGGTAAGACAAATGGGGAGCCTGATTGTGAAATCTCTACTTCTGTGCTGACACAGAGTGGGTTGGAAGAAATCAATTCTAAAACTAAAGCCAAGATAGAAGAGGAAGCATATAACAAAGGGTGGGAATATTTTATGTGAACTAAGTCTGTAAATATGTGCTACCAGATGAGGACATATGTTTTTATAATGTAATTTTAAATGCAAAATGGGTGATATAATTGATATGAGCCTCTAGAAGATGGTTATAATTGAAGCAATGTGGGAAACAATGTGAGTGAGCTTCACTCACTGTATTTGCATCTTAGCTGTTCACTTTCATCCTTTATTAATGTTAGCCAAACTGTGGGAGAGCAGTTATATCAGAGATTCTGAGTTGAGTGGATGTTCTTATGTCAATAGTGTTCAGCCTCATGATAGGATAATCCAAAACAACTTTATAAAGTGTTTATTCTGAAAAGTGTACATGGAAATGAGTAAAGAGTAGGTATCAACTTTTGCAGTATACTCATGTTGTTTGTGTCACAAAGTGCTTTACACAGCATGTTTTGGGGCAATTAACAGGTTTGGATCTGTTTCTGAATGTCAAGCAAAGAACTTTGTACTATGTGAAGAGTGAGACAAAAATTTTGATCCTCTCCTGCAGAATCCAACACGCCATCTATCTTTAGCATTGATTTGCGCTTATCCTCCAGGAAAATAAAGTATCTAAAGGGTGTTCAAAATGATTGAAAAATAGGAGAGAAATACTTACCAACTTCTTTACAATAGACAAAAGTTGTGCTCTGCTGAGGACTATAACCTCTTTTTCAAGATGATAGATTTGGTAACAGAGCTCATATAATCCTCTATTAAGGAAGGGTGGCTGTCTGTGTGCCATGCTCATTGTCTTTAGCTAGTTTTGACTCTTGTCCAAGTACTGCAACACTGCTACTTGTGTTTTATTGCATGTAAGAAAACATAAAGCTAATTTTTCATTACGTAGGAACAGGCTTATACACTGTGCTAGACTAAGAAAAATGTTTTGTGTGTTAAAGCTATCAGGAAGGCTTGAAGAAAACCAAAGAACTTCAAGAACTGAAGGAAGAAGATGAAGAAACACCAAAAGAAAGTCATGATGAACATGAAGAAAGTGAAAATGAAGATGAGATAAAAAACCTGAAAAGCAGGTGAGACAGTGGTGTAATATGTCCATAGAAGAGGAGCCACTTTTTTCTGGTACCCAACCAAGTATTTTATACTATTGTCTTGACATGTTTTCTTCCAGTCTAGGGAAGCATAGTTGAAATAACAATATTTTCACAGAAAGGCATATTCCAAGATAACATAGTTGCAAAATGCAAAACTTCTTGATATTTCAACTAAAATTGTATGTTGACATCAAGATGCTTCATGTTGGTGGGGTTTGATTTTGATTTGAGGTAAAAAATATTCCACAGAAGTTCTTTAGATGCCAGAATGTATCTCTCAGTAGGCATGCATTGTCTCATGAAAGTTGTAATTCAGGAATCTGATGCCCATATTTGTGCCATATGTCATTCCCAAAGGGTCTTCACAGGTGAGTCTTTCAGTACATCTACAAGGTGAACGCAGATTAAGACAAGCTCCTCAGCTATGTTGGACTTGCTCTGACTTGGATAGGTAGGTGCCTGCTCTCTCTGGAAGCTGTGTAGATGCAGCAGAACAGCACTATGCTGGAGTTCCTGCCTTTCAGCAGAGTGACATGTTTATTGCATTCATCTACACCCAATGCTCTTTGTCTATACTGGGGACTTTTGAATCCTCTGCTTATTGTCTTACCCAAAGCATTTAATGCCGACTGGAAAACTTTTCTGAAATTTTCAACTTTTCTTAGAGTTAATTATTGAGTATCCTCTGTGGTTCTACCACTCAATTCAATATACCTGCAATTTCCTGCATTTTAACAGCAAAGAGACATTTGCATTAGAGAGGAATTAAATGCTGGCCAAAGCACGTAATATGTCCTATCGCAAGCTAAGGTAGGAAGCTTTACCTGATCCAGAAGAATTCATTTCCATTCCATAACCATTATGCTTATAAACATCGGTTAATTTGAGTTTTCACCCATGTTCAGAAGGGCAGCCATCTTGCTAGTCATGAAACTCTTAGGAAGAAATGTTTACAGCATGTTCTAATATTTAGTTTAGTTGAGCAAGTTATGAACAGTGCAGAATTTTACATCATATCAAGCTCTAACATTTGCCAGTTGACAGCTGGGAAAAATAGAAGTCAAGTTTACGGTCTTCAGCCGTCTTGCAAATATCATGCATATCTGAGTGTGCAGCTCTTCTTAAAAGAACTTAACAGCCTGATTCTTCTTTGACAGGGTGTTTGTATTTGGAAGAAAGATGGTGCACCATACATCTATGAAACTTCTCAAATTGAAAAGCTTAAGATAATAAATTTGCATATGGTTAATATATAACAGTTTTCTTTTAATTTTACAGCAGACTTGAAGTCATCATTAATTATTTACATATACTGTACCCCAAACTGTGTAAACACTGGAATGTGGTATGGCTCGTAGTGGCTGCAATAATAATTTTTGCTGTGGTGTTGGGAATCTACCATTCATACGACTCCTGTGATGAAAAATCAGAGGGACCTGAAGGGAAGGCCAGCTGTTCTGCTGCCCATCAATATTCCTGGTGGAACTCAGGATTTCAACATGAGCAACGCACTGAATAATAAAGGAACAAGCATGTATTTATGGTACCTGAGCAAGTATGCATATTAGAACACAGTTGTTACAGGTAGTGCTTAGTCATCCTTATGGTTGTCAAGTGTGATCTGTTAAACAAGTGAGTTATTCCACACCATGAGGTTTGGGGAATACATTGTGAACATACCTTGGCAAAATCTGATGAAGAATCCTGTCTGTCCTCTTGTTGTAAATGACTGATACAAATAAAGTAATATTGAATCATTATAAGGTTGTAGCAGTAATCAGCAACCAGCGAGACATTTAAAAGAATGATTTGCACAGGACATTGACACCTCTGCTATGATTTTGAAGACAATTGTAAAACCTGCATTTGCAGTTAGTGTTTACTTTGTATTTCCTGAATTTATTGGTGATTGTTGAAGTACTAATGGCATTTAAGTGCTTTGGGTTTTTAAGAATCTAATTCGTTTCCTTGTTTGTGATTATTGGGTAGAAATAGAAGCTCTTCTGTGGAAGGTTAGAATTATATTATCAGACCAATTGCCTTGCTGATAAAGTAATTTTATAAGAGGAATTATCTGTATGATTATTTAAATGGAATACTAAGTACATGCATAAATTTGTTTTATGATATGCTTTAAGAATGGGACCACCACTTTTCTTTAAATGGGATACACAACAAAACCTAAAATGAGGTCTAGGTGGCACAGCTGATATCATCAAATAAATCTGGGAACTTCCGATATATCAAAGGGACATGCTTTGCAACAAATTTCTGTATGCCAGTCAGCGTCACTACTGGTTACAGCAAAAAGTAGTTGCTGTCTGGAAGATTAGATGTGTTGCCCAAGCCCAAAATACAGCAGTCTTGGATGTGGGAAGCAATCTTCAATTCTTTATTTAAAAAAAAAAAAAAAAAGAAAGAAAAAAAAAGTCTTGAAATCTGTGTATACAGGTGATCACACTAAGTGGACTCTGCCCTACTGCTAATACTGGAAATAGATATCCTTTGAGATCTGCACTAGGAACACAGTTCTGCGTACAGCCAAAACCCTACCAGTGCCTAGATGAATCAGGACATGAAAGCAGTGAGACTTTGAAGAGGTCACTGCATGTTTTTAGTAGTTCATTTTCAGGATCTGATGCCAAGTATATAACTGTTCTGATATGCTTTCAAAGCTTAACTATCAGGTCATGATAAATTAATTTTTTGCCCAGATTTTTTAACAGTTCTGCCTATTTAGGAGTTGTGAGTTCTTACATGAGAATGTGGAAGCCTGGAATTTTTAGACAAGCAGTTTCAAAATGGTGAAGCCATTATCTGTAAAAAACCACACCACCTAGGGCTGAGACCAAA